CACGCACTGCGTGGCTCACAGTCGCTTGGTTCCCCCTTGCACTGTGGGGTGGTCTGACGGGTGTTGGTATCGCCACGGAGTGGTTCAGCCTTCCGCAGCAGCTACAGCACCCCAGGCTCACCATCAGCTTTTCCCAGTTGCGTGGCATCACGGTTTGCGACAGCTCAGCCCACCTGGCTAGCTCACGTCGCCATGGCGTTTGGGGCCTGGCGCCCCACCGGCGACTCACTCCACCGGCCTCCCATTTGCCCCCACTCAGATTGACGGACTTGGTTTTCCTGGTTCACGTCTCATACTGTGGCAGGCACCGAATTCCATGACATTTTGTCTGTGCACGTGCTCGAGCTCTAAGGATACCCCTGCCGTCAGCTCCCCTTCAGCTTCGCGGCTGCTTTGTGAGCGGGCCGGCCGGCCTGTGCCTGTTGTAGCTAATTAGCCTCGCTCGTGCCCCGGATTTTGCTTTCGCCGCCTGACCCTTGCCTCGTGGCCGCGACCAAAAAGTAACCCCTCCAGCCCATCCAGAAACGACGCCCAGAGGAATTGTCTCGATCAGGGATGTGGAGGAGAATGGAGTGGAATGTAGGGATGGGTAAGACGTCATACCCCAAGACGGGTGAGGATGGAGGAGGATGAAGAGGGCGAGGAGGAGGCGTAGGGCAAGAGGGAGGAGGAGGAGGGAGGAGGGAGCAGGAGAAGGAAAGGAAGAGGAGGAGGAGGAGGCGGATGAGAAAGTGAAGGAGGAGGAAGAGGAAGAGGGCGAGCAGAAAGGCCAGAGGCCTCTTGGATGCTTCTCGGAGTCTCTTCGGATGTCTCTTGACAGCTTCTGGTAGGCCTCGTGAGGCGTCTTGGGGGCCTCATGGCGGTCCTGGGGGCCTTTTGAAGCGTATTGGGTGCATCGGGGGAGCCTCTTGAGGCCTCTTGGGGGTCTCGGGAGCCTTTTGATGGCATCTTGGAGGTCTCTTGGGGGCCTCTTCTTGGGGCCTCCTGGGCACCTCTTGGGGCTGTTGTGGGGCACCCATGGGAGCCTCGGGGGCCATCTTGGAGGAGACAAATCAAAGGAGGGGAGCTCCCTAATGAGTGCTGCCCCCCAGGAGGCCAAGATGTGGCCAAGACCTTCGCAAACCATTTTGCTTTGGGCCTTCTCGCCGATGCCATCTTGGACGTTCCAACCCCATCGCGGACGGCCCCGTCCAGACGCAGGGGGAGGGGGGGAGGGGGAAGGGCCAGCACACCCTCCCCGCCCGCAAGCTGTCTCGCCCACTCCCACCCGCCGTTCAAACACGTAAGTAGCACCCAGGCCTCGGCTGTGCTCAGCGGTCGGCTATGAGTGGGCAGCTACTGGGAACGAATGCAGACCCCATGGGCGCGATGGGGCGAGGTGCGCCACGCGTGCCAGGCGCTCCAGATACGCCAGGCATCCCTGGGGCCCAAGCGTGCCGGGCACGCCTCGCGCGCCAGATGCGCGACGTGCTCCACGTGCGCCATGTGTGCCGCGTGGTCTCGCCGCGCCAGGTGCTCCACGTCCGGGGCGCACGCAGAGTGTGCTGGGTGCGCCCGCGCACGTGACAGTACACATCGGGAAACATGACGGCCCCCCCTCATTCCAAAGATGGGGTCGGAGGATCGCGATGCATCGACGATGCGGCTCGGTGTGGAGCCCGATGTTTTCCGCGTCGACGTCGCCGATGCATCGGCGATGCATCGGCGCTGCGGCGCGATCCTCTGACCCCATCTACTCGCACCCCATTTGAGAGACCTCGAGTCCCAGACCTGTGCAGGATGTCTTTCTTCGATCCGGGCGTGTCCCCTGGATGTTGGCCTTCAAGGGCCGTTTTCTTCGGGCCCCAGGGCCATCAACACTGGACCTTGGGCGCAGAACTTGCCCCCGGGAAGAGCGCGGGACCTGTGGGGTTGCGGGGTTGTGGATCGAACAAAACGCAACGTCGGAGGTCTGGGGAGGCCAGCCAGGACCCGCACCGCCGCGGCAGAAGTTCCACCAGTTTTGTTTGATCGATGAATCGCTTGTTCCCCTTGAGATCCCCCGACATGGCACATTGCAGGCGGTGTGTCGGCGGAGCAGCTTCGGGCTCGCGCACGGCTTTTCCTCCTGCTCTGTCAGTTCAGGAAGGGGCCAGAAACGATCACGCGCCAGGCCGCACGGGATGCGCCTTCATGCGGAGTAGAAAGCACTCCGACCAGGCGGACGCCAACTATGCACCTGCACCACCTACACCGGTCCTGGCCAGGCCCATCTTGGGCCCTGGATCGGTGCATACTTCCCCTTGCCTCTTGCCTTGGCCAGGGAGGCATGAACACCGGCTCTGGGCCCAGGGTGGGCATGGCCAGTATCGGGGTGGGTGCACAGTTGACGCCCTCCGACCGCCCACTCCGCTGAGCCGGCAGTGATGGCGATCCAGGACTGATGAACCACCTTTCGTCACGGCGATGTACCTGGGGGGGGGGCGCATGTGCCCGACCTGAGGCCTCACCACCTCGATGCTCGATCCTCGAGCCCCTCCCAGGGTCCGCGCTGGCCAGCTGCTCGAGCCGCGCCCAGTGGTGGCGACGAGAGTCCTCACCGCAGGAGAGCGCCCCAGATGTCCCCGAGACGACGAAAAGCATCGACGCCGACGAACCCTGGGTCGGGGAACAAAATATGGCGCAAACATAAGCTTGTGGAGGTCCGAGCAGATTTCTCGGATCGGCGCTGGAGCCTAGCCCGCCGCAGCGCGAGCCTCCAACAGTTTATGTTTATGTAGTGTGATGCTATTATCTTGGAACCAGAGGGACAAACCGCATGATCATGATATGTTCCAAGGTTTCCAAGTTTTCAAGACTTCCTGACGTTCCGCACGGGCTGCAGCAACGAAAGCCGCTAGAGTCGCCAGAACTCTTGGAACGTATCCTGAGCCAACCTTTCCTTGACCTTATCATCCTCTGGGGAGCCCCGAGGGGTCGGACATGGTGGTGCAGTACCAGCCCGTCGCGGACGAGCCTGGCGGCGCGGGGGCGCGGCGGCGGTGCAGCGAGGAGGGCAGGCCCCGAGCGGCCCGTCGCCGCGGGGTCGCCCCCCGCCGTCGATGGGTGGGTGGGTCGGTCGGTCGGTCAATCGCCGTGGTCGGTCGGTCGGTCGGTCGTCGCCGTGGTCGGTCGCCCAGGGGTCTCATATTGCACGACTTGCCAACGCGCACTACGTTCCTTTCTCGGCACACCCCTGCGGAGGGGCATGCCCGATGGCGACTCCGCTTCTCAGCGACGGGCAGGCAGGAGGGGTAATGTTTCGCAGGCGAGAGGCGGCCGTGAGGGTGAACCTGAAAAGAAGCAAGCTCGTCTCCTTGGCACTGGTGCTCACTCTTCTGGTGCTGACCCTTGAAGGTCAAGACCCATGGCGTCAAGCCCGCACCCGATGCTGCTGCCAGCCCCGCAGATGGCTTCTGTACCCCTGGTGCCAGCCAATTGACCTCACCTTGTGCTGCTTAAGACGCTTCCCCCCGTTATTCTTGGCGCCATGCGCGACGAGATCGTGGGTATTGTACACAAGGCGAACAATTATGTCACCGCTTCGACTACTGCGAGTTCCACCGCCGCCTTCCGCAATTTCGGCGAACGACAGGCTGCCCCAAAAAACGTTCAGATCGACGGCCACCTCAAGGACCTTGACAAGGGCCCGCTCATTCTCCAATAGGAACACCGAAAAACACAAAACCAACTCCAGGCTATCCAAAGTCTTGTAGTGCGAAGCTGGAGTCACGATCCAGACCTCGTTGACATCGTCGACCAGTCACTAGCGACTCTATCATCCTTGCGCTCCAGGGCTGGTTCGAGGATGCTGGGCTTGGGGAAGACAGCTAGACCGTCGAAGGCCCTTCACCTCGAAGTCGCTGCACCCTCCGCATGTCTGGTGCCGCTAAACTGGCCTCCAAGCGAGTCGTCACGGCGTTCAAGCTCTTCAAGAAAGACGGTCAGTGGCGACGTTTCCGTGACATCTCGGTGGGCAACGTTCCCACCGACATCTTCGTCGGACTCGACAAATCCCGGCAGGCCATCAGCATGGAAGTCCAGGCCAAAAAGCTCCTCTCGACCCGGTTAATCAAGGAAGCGGACTCGGCGGGCAGGTGGCGCGCGAAGAGTACTTGGATAGCAGGTGCGTTTCCACTGCTGACGATGCAGCAGCAGCACAAACAAAGCCACCACGTTGGAGTGGAATCATCGTGCTAATGCTGATGCTGGGCCGGGGGAAGATGCGCTGAAGCGATCTGTCGATGACCTGCCCAGCGGAACTGAGAAGATCCACTAGTCCATTTAACGTTCGTCTCGCGCCATGGAGAGTACCATCTGAACATCATCATCAACATCATCATCATCATCATCATCATCATCAGCATCATCATCATCATCATCATCATCATCATCATCATCATACCCTTTTGCGCTTGGGATGCTGGGGCCCTCATGTACCGCAGTGTGGCGGAGATCAGAGGGCACAAGTTTCGACATCTTCGTGGCTACCTCAAGCAGGACACAGCTATGCCGATTCAAGACGTACACGGCACTGGATCAAAGCTCAACAAAGAGTTGTGGAGCATGCATTTTCCTCATCCAATGTTTATTAAGTTGACGAACGTCGCGAGACTGGGTGAACTGGAGCTTTCGCGGTCCTGGACCTTGTCAAGTACGCACGCGAGGTCTTGGTTGTTGGTCGTTCCCAACGGCTACGCGTTTCTGGTCTGCCAACCTCTCATGGGATTCCCACTCATTTTTGTTGTCCTGCACAACATTCACAACTTCGCGCCTAGCAGCGGCCACCTCGACATCTCGTCGAAGCTGCACGCCGACCACGCCATGTCCAAGCTGGCCCCATCGACTATCACGGTCCTCATGCTCGGCGACTCCAACATCCTGGTTGCCCCATAAATGTTGTTTGGAGAAGCTGGCTTGTCGCTCTCTCTCTCTCTCTCTCTCTTTATCTCTCTTTCAACGCGGTCCCTCGGCCTCGCTGGATGCCTCTCTTCGACCAGGTGTTGGAACTCGGCGACGACCTTCCCGCGCGCGTCTCCATCCAGGAGAAGCGACGACCTTTCCGCGTGCGTCTCCATCCAGGAGAACGCCCCACCCAAGCGCACGCAGCTCGACAGAGCCTTCGTCGCGATCTCCATCTGGTTGAGGCTGGAACGGCCGTTTCGCATCTGTTTGGAGCCCCCTTGGAGCCTTCTTGAGTGGCCCTACGTCGCAGGGCCCACCCTCCCTCGTCGTCGTCGTCGTCGTCGTCGCCGTCGCCCTTCTCCTCCCCCCCGCCCCATACATGGCAGAAATCCGAATCCCCGACACAAGCCGAATCCCTCGTTTCTCTGCTGGTGCCCGATTCCAGAGGGCTCCACCTTTCAAGGGAGGAAATACCACCCTGACCCGATGACCGGCGTTTCCTGATCGGCCCTGGGCGTTCATGGAACAGCTCTGCCCGGGTCGATTCCTCTTTCGGGTGCGTTTGCTGAGCGGCTTCGCGTGTCGGGGCGATTCTTGTGAGGGCGGATTTTCTGCTCTATAGCCTTCGCGAGCCCAGGAGGGCTGCATCCCCAGAGATCTGATGTCGTGATTTCTTCCATACGCGGTCCCCGGAAGTCTCGGCCCACTCCCCAGGACTGGTTCTTCATCCTGAGCCGTTTTGTGACGGTCCCGGGGCCCGGCGAGGGCCCCTTGAGGCCGAAGTTTGTGAAAACTTGCGCCTTGATTGTTTCAATACAGTCGGGGCCCTGAAGAAGGAACCCTTTTGGTTGGGGAGGGGCTCCGCGTTCCTTAAGTGTTGCACAGCTTGCCTCAGGTTTTCCTTATGTTTTCGATCGGAAATCGAAGTCTAACTTATGGAAAAAAGGGGCCTCGTTCATTATTTAGGGTTCCTTAGGTCAACGCCCCGACTGTACGTTGGATCTCTGGGTCCTCCCCGCCCTGGGGCCCAGGGGCCTCCGCCGGCTGCTGGCGGCCGGGCTGTGCGCCGCCGCGGCGGGCGCGGCGGCCGCGCGCCTGCGCCAGGACGAGGGCGCGCGGCACCGTTCGGGCAGGCGGGGGGGGAGGGAGGAGGAGGAGGAGGAGGAGGCACAAGAGGGGGCGGAGGAGGAGGAGGAGGAGGTGCGCAGCCACGCCCGCAGCTAGAAGCTCGGCCCGGAAGAACGCGGCCAGGCTGAACCCAGCCATGTGAAACTCGGCCAGGCAGACTTCGGCCAAGCTGAATTCGGCCCAGGCCGAGTTCAGCCTGGCCGAGTTCAGCCTGGCCGAGTCGTTCCCTTGTCGAAGGCAGGCGCAGCGATCAGGTGCATCGCTCTGGTCAGGAACCTTGGTTCAGCGTGCTGCACCGCCGGTTCTGGTCCACCACGCTTCAGCGCGCGGCGCTATCCATTTCCCAGTCCCCAGGCTTCAACGTCCCGGGCCTATCCGGGCCTCCCGCCCCGCAGAGCGGAGCGATACGAAATCCGCGCGCAAGACATAGCGTGTCGCCAGGGCCGCCGCAGCGACACGCAAAGCAAAAGTTCCTGACCGTACAGGGGGGGGGGATGGGCTCAGGGGCTTCGAGGCTCGAAGCTCGGGGTTTTCGGGCGCCTTCGTCGGCTCTCAGCGCTGTTCCAGCCCCGTGGTACCTTCCACGAAGGATTGCAAAAAGGATTGCAAAAAACGAAGGATTGCAAAACAAAACCCTTTTGCAATCCTTTTTTGCAATCCTTTTTTGCAATCCTTTTTTTGCAATCCGTTATTTGCAATCGCTTCGCCTCGCCGAGAGCGTTCTGGGGGTGCCCGGACATCGTCCCCCACAGATCGTCGCCCAACGGCCGCCGGAGGCCCGAGGTGTGGCCCGAAAGCCACCTGGGGGGAAGGAAACCGGGCAGGGGAGGCAACGACGAGGGAAGGGACGGGAATGAGGGAGGAGGCCGGAGGAGGGAGGAGGAGGAGGAGGAGGAGGAGGAGGAGGAGGAGGGAGGAGGAGGAGGAGGAGGAGGAGGAGGAGGAGGAGGAGGAGGAGGAGGAGGAGGAGGAGGGGAGGAGGAGGAGAGAGGAGGAGGAGGAGGAGGAGGAGGAGGGAGGAGGAGGAGGAGGAGGAGGAGGAGGAGGAGGAGGAGGAGGAGGAGGAGGAGGAGGAGGAGGAGGAGGAGGAGGAGGAGGAGGAGGAGGAGGAGGAGGAGGAGGAGGAGGAGGAGGAGGAGGAGGAGGAGGAGGAGGAGGAGGAGGAGGAGGAGGAGGAGGAGGAGGAGGAGGAGGAGGAGGAGGAGGAGGAGAGGAGGAGGAGGGAGGAGGAGGAGGAGGAGGAGGAGGAGGAGGAGGAGGAGGAGGAGGAGGAGGAGGAGGAGGAGGAGGAGGAGGAGATGAGTGTCTCACCTCTTCCCAACTAGGTCATTCTGATGCCTCGTCTCATACATCTCGTGTCTCACCTCTTCCCGAGTGCGGCCCCACTTCCCCGCAGAGTTCAGCCGTGGGAAGGTGGCAGGACGGGTCCGCACGGCGACAGACATCGTCTCTTGCAGCCGTTGGCATCAGCAGCAGGAGGAGGAGGAGGAGGAGGAGGAGGAGGAGGAGGAGGAGGAGGAGGGAGGAGGAGGGAGGGAGGAGGAGGAGGGAGGAGGAGGAGGAGGAGGAGGAGGAGGAGGAGGAGGAGGACGAGGAGGAGGCTCCCAGGGCCGTGCTCCCGTGCGGTGCGCCCCGGGAGGGGCCTCGCCCACGCGAGGGGCAGAGGTGGGCCCCTCCTGCCCCAGCGGAAGGTCAGCGCGGCGGCCCTCGGAAGTGCACGTTGGGAGCAGCCCCTTTGGCTGAGCTCCAGAGGCGGGATGGGCCGAAGACCACTCGATAATGGTTAATGGAGGATGACGATTAATAAATGACCGGGGGTCGTGTTCACGCGGCGGCGCCCGGGATGACGACTAGAAAAACCGACCGCGGGCTGGACAACTATTTTTTTTCCCGGAAAGGGCTTAAGCCTAGGGTTCTCTTTTAGTATGTAAACATGTCCCCCGGTGCCTGCTTGAAGGAGGCCGGCGAATTTTTTCCCTGATAAATAACGAGGTCGAAGGAGGCCGGCGAATTAAAATTTGAGGATGTCTCGAGCGAAACGCTTGTTTTTGAAATCCCGATCGATAAATCACAGGGTGCGGGCCACTTTTTCGTGTGTTGAGGATGTCTCGAGCGAAACGCTTGCTCCGCAGAGTTTGCCGAGGATGTCTCGAGCGAAACGCTTGTTTTGCAGAGCCGACCGCGACGCGGAAAAGCGCCCCGCGCGAAGGAATTTCGATGATGTCTCGACTAATTCGTTTGTTTTTGTACGATTTCCTGGAATTTTGGCAGGATGTCTCGAGCGAAATGCACGACCCCACCCTAGCACGACCATACCCCAGCACGACCACACCCCAGCACGACCAGACCCCAGCACGACCCCACCCCAGCACGACCCCACCCCAGCACGACCATACCCCAGCACGACCACACCCCAGCACGACCCGACCCCAGCACGACCCTACCCCAGCAAGACCACACCCCAGCACGACCACACCCCAGCACGACCTCACCACAGCACGACCACACCCCAGCACGACCACGCCCCAGCACGACCACGCCCCAGCACGACCACGCCCCAGCACGACCACCCCCCAGCACGACCACCCCCAGCACGACCACACCCCAGCACGACCACACCCCAGCACGACCACACCCCAGCACGACCACACCCCAGCACGACCACACCCCAGCACGACCACACCCCAGCACGACCACACCACAGCACGACCACACCCCAGCACGACCACGCCCCAGCACGACCACGCCCCAGCACGACCACGCCCCAGCACGACCACCCCCCAGCACGACCACACCCCCAGCACGACCACCCCCCAGCACGACCACGCCCCAGCACGACCACACCCCAGCACGACCACTCCCCAGCACGACCACACCCCAGCACGACCACACCCCAGCACGACCACACACGACCACCCCAGCACGACCACACCCCAGCACGACCACACCCCAGCACGACCCGACCCCAGCACGACCACCCCAGCACCACACCCCAGCACGACCACACCCCAGCACGACCCGCATGACGGACCACACCCCAGCACGACCACACCCCAGCACGACCACACCCCAGCACGCACGACGCATCGACACAGACACCCCAGCACGACCCACCCCAGCACGACCCCACCCCAGCACGACCCACCCCAGACGCACGACCACACCCCAGCACGACCACTCCCCAGCACGACCCCACCCCAGCACGACCCCACCCTAGCACGACCACACCCCAGCACGACCACACCCCAGCACGACCCCACCCCAGCACGATCACACCCCAGCACGACCCCACCCCAGCAAGACCACACCCCAGCACGACCGCACCCCAGCACGACCTTACCACAGCACGACCACACCCCAGCACGACCACGCCCCAGCACGACCACGCCCCAGCACGACCACGCCCCAGCACGACCACGCCCCCAGCACGACCACCCCCCAGCACGACCACCCCCCAGCACGACCACCCCCCAGCACGACCACACCCCAGCACGACCACCCCCAGCACGACCACACCCCAGCACTTGGTTGAGTGGTTGTGTTCGTGGGGTGTCTCGTGGAATGTTTCGCGGGGTGTCTCGTGAAATGTTTCGTGAGGTGTCTCGTGGAATGTTTCGTGAGGTGTCTCGTGGGCTGTTTCGTGAGGTGTCTCGTGGGATGTTTCGTGAGGTGTTGCCCAGTTGGGTATCATGAAAACGTGTCCATGCTCCACATGTCTATATCCCTTTCCGGGTTCGTGGGTCCATCATGTTATCGTTCTCCTCCAGTCAGAAAATTGTGCAGAAATAGCAGAAAACCATGTTTTAAATCGTTCTCTCCAATTTTTTAAATGAATCGTCATCCCGCATTACCGCGGACCCCTCGCCCAAAGCAACAAGAAAGCAACAAGGACACGCAGCGCCCTGCCGATCGAGGGCCAGACCGACTGCCCCGATCCCGATCCCAACCGACAAGTCGGGCGGGTCCAGGGGCCCAACCGAGCCCTGATCGAGGGGTCACGGGCCAGCTGCGTGGGCGGAAGCCTCCAGTTGATTTTCCGGCTTAAACTTCAGTCGGGCGTGTCCCCCTACAGGGGGATTTTCGACGAGAGATAAAAGATATCCCAAAACATACCCCGAAAAGGTCGGAAAATATTCAAAAAAATAGTCCCCAGATTATTTTTGGATTATTATTTGATTATTTTTGGGGTATTCTTTATTTTTCGTCGAAAATCCCCCTGTAGGGTGACAGGCCCGACTTAAGCTTAAACACTGCGTCGGCAATGTTAGGGTCGGAGGTGGATAGACCTCCTGCCCTGACACGTCGATTGAGGAATTGGCCGTTGTCAGTTCGCGAGGGGGCGTCGCGGCCGTCGTTTTTGCGGGTCCAGGTCCGTCGGTTTCGGTCACAAGCCGTTTTCACTAAGGGGAGGTTTACTAAAGGGAGGTTTGTCCACCGCCAATAGGGGAACAACAATGACATAAACATGAAAACTCGGAGGTCCGCGCGGATTTCTCGGAGCGGCATTGGGGTCCCTTGGCGGCGCCTCCGGCGCCGCCCCTGGCGCACTCCGCGCGCCAGGGAGGGGGTTTCAGCGCCGACCCGAGAAATCCGCACGGACCTCCGAGTTGTTATGTTTATGTAACTGTTTGTTCCCCTAAATGTGGCCCAAACGATGCGAAAAATGAGGGCGGACATTTCCGCCTCGGAAGAGTAAGGCGGATATTTTTGCGAGAGTGTGGCGGAAGCAGCGGCGGCAAAGTAGGGCGGAAGTCGGCATCAGAGGAGCTTGAAAAGTAGGCGGTGATGTCTCGCCATGCGTACGAAACTGCCCAAAGCGCGTCGGATCCAGAGTCAGGGCTGCGGGCGAACTTATAACGAGCCTAGGAACGGGACAACACCGGTGACTTCTTGCTCTCCTCGCTGCAGGATGCAGCGCCGAAGCTGCAGTGGGACAGCCTGATGCCGCTCCGCCGTGCGTTCCGCCCCAATGGTTCGCACCGTTTGGGGTCCATTTCCGACGCAACTCTGGGTCGGAAAATCAACCAACGCACGGCGGATCCGGAGTCAGGGTACATCGCCGACGCTGCGATCTATTCAATCCGGGTGTTTTTTCCCGGAAAGGGCGTGGGCCCAGGGTTCTTTTTTAGATGGTTTCCCCCCGGTTTTGACGGCTGTAGGGCCGGCGAATTTCTTCTGCGATGAATAACGAGGTCGCCAAGGGCCGGCGAATTAAGAGTTTGAGGATGTCCTTAGCGAAACGCTGGTTTTTGAAATCCCGATCTATAAATCACAGGGTGCGGGACACATTTTGGTCGAAGAAGTGCATTCCGTACTAGCGGGAACCCCGTGTTTTCACGTGTCACGGCCACACCCAGGTAGATATCTAACATGGTGGTCCCGAGCTGGAACCACGTGTTTTTACGTGTCCAGGCCGAGCAGGGGAGTATCTATCATGGTGGTTCCGAGCTGGAACCACGTGTTTTCACGTATCCAGGCCTCCCAGGGGGGATATCTAACATGGTGGTCCCGAACTGGAACCACTTGTTTTCACGTGTCCAGGCCGAGCAGGGGGTATCTAACATGGTGGTCCCGAGCTGGAACCACGTGTTTTCACGTGTCCAGGCCCGAGGGAGGCCCTAGGAGGCTTCCCCAGGGCCCCAGGACGGAACGTGTCAAGTTATTACACATTTGGTGTCGATTCGTTGATTTGTTCTGCCTTTTGTGCCCCCCCCCCACTTTGGGGTGCCCAGACGATTATATGCTAATTAGATATTTCCCCTTGGGTGGCTCAGACACATGAAAATACGTGGGTTCCTAACGCCCCAGGGCGGGTCAAGCGTGAAAACACGCTGGTTCCAAACGCCCGAGAGCGGGACGAGCGTGAAAACACATAAGTTCCTAACGCCCCAGGGCGGAAGATCGTGGAAACACGTGGGTTCCTAACGCCCCAGGGCGGGACAAGCGTGAAAACACGTGGGTTCCTAACGCCCCAGCGCGGGGCAAGCGTGAAAACACGTGGGTTCCTAACGCCCGAGAGCAGGACGAGCGTGAAAACACGTAAGTTCCTAACGCCCCAGGGCGGGAAGAGCGTGAAAATACGTGGGTTCATAACGCCCCAGCGCGAGACAAGCGTGAAAACACATGGGTGCCTAACGCCCGAGAGCGGGACAAGCGTGAAAACGCTTGGTCTCCCAACGCCTCAGAGCGGGACAAGCGTGAAAACACGTGTTTTCCTAACGCTTCAGAGCTGGAAAAACGTGAAAACACGTGGGTTCCTAATGCCTCAGAGGCCGCCCCAGGAGGCCCCAGGAGGCCTCCCCAGGGCCCCAGGACGGAACGCGTCAAGTTATTCCATATCTGGTGTCGATTCGTTTACTTTTTCTTGCTTTTGTGCCTCCCCCCACTTTGGGGCCCAGACGACCGCATGCTAGCTATCCCCCCATGGGTGTCTGCGACACGTGAAAATACGTGGGTTCCTAACACCCCAGGGCGGGAAGAGCGTGAAAACACAAGTTCCTAACGCCCCAGGGCGGGACGAGCGTGAAAACACATGGGTTCCTAACGCCCCAGGGCGGAACAAGCGTGAAAACACATGGGTTCCTAACGCCCCAGCGCGAGACAAGCGTGAAAACACGTGGGTGCCTAACGCCCGAGAGCGGGACAAGCGTGAAAACGCGTGGTCTCCCAACGCCTCAGAGCGGGACAAGCGTGAAAACACGTGGTTTCCTAACGCCTCAGAGCGGGACAAGCGTGAAAACACGTGGGTTCCTAGTGCCTCAGAGGCCGCCCCGGGAGGCCCCAGGAGGCCTCCCCAGGGCCCCAGGACGGAACGTGTCAAGTTATTACACATCTGGTGTCGATTCGTTTACTTTTTCTTGCTTTTGTGCCTCCCCCCCCCCCCCTTGGGGGGGCCCAGACGACCGCATGCTAGCTATCCCCCCATGGGTGGCTGCAACACGTGAAAATACTTGGGGTCCTAACGCCCATTGCGGGAAGAGCGTGAAAACACTCGCCTGGCAATGCACTCGCAGGGTCAGCCGAGCGGGCGGTCTCCTTCCCGTGCTGGGGCAGGGGGCCTGCGCCTCCATCATTGCCCGCAATGACGTGTTGTCACTCTTCGATTCTGCCCGGCACTGCACCCGCAGGGTCAGCCGGGCGGTGGGGCCGCTGCTCCTGCGAGCCGCCGCGTGCACCCATCCTCCATGATCTCGGTGCGCCGATACATGAGTTGATAGGTTGCGCTGAAATGTTCTTCCCACGTTGGAACTGATTCGGGTTTTGCGCTCGAGTTAGTTCAGTGCCACGAGCGTTTCGATTGTCGCCAGCCCCGGGCATCCGCGCGGCCACGCAGCTCGGGCTCAAGAGGCTTGCACCGTCAGTTGTGCCTGCATTGATTTGTTGTGCTGTGTCTTGTCTCGCTTCGGGTCGGGTCGGTTCGGCCTTCGTGTCGGTTCGTATCGCTGTTCGTTTCTATGCAGTTTGTCTCGTCTTAGATCGCCGCGCTTCAGTCCGTCCGTTCTCGGGGCCAAATTGTGAGGATGGCTCGAGCGAGGGCTTCGGAACTGAATCTGATCTTGAGCTCGAGCTGGTCGAGCGCCCCGCGCGTCTCGACTGCTACTTGCCCGATCTGTGCGTTCAGGCAGTTCGAGCTTAGGATCCAAATCAGTTCGGTCAGGATTCCGACGCCAAGGACGGTGTGATCCACAATGCATTAGCGCACGGCACAGTTCAACGCGGCACGACACATTTGAATTCAGCACAGCACGGCACATCACAGCACAGCCCGTGGCACAGTACATCACGACCGTTACCTTGAGCGTTGTAGCTGCCCGTCGCCCAAGTTTGGTGTCTTGGGAACGATTCCACGCTTCACATTTCTGCATCCCTTTCCGGGTTCGTGGGTCCATCATGCCCTCGGATTCGGCCTCCGGGGGCCCTTTACCGGGCCCAAGGACCATCAATAATAGATTCGGGACGGAATGGTTTGTTACAGGGCAGAGGTCGGGGCGGGACCTTCTGGGGCTGCGGATTGGAAAAAACACGTCGTCGATGTCTGGGTCTCCTTCCTCGTCTGCAAGCGACTGGACGCGACACCCAGCGTCCGAGGAGAATCTCTGTCTGCCGGCTGCGCGCGAGAGTAGCTCCGTGGCCCTTCGCCCGAGTGACCGCTTGAATGGATGCGAGACGAGCCTTCGCTGTCCTGCCCGTGTCTGTCCCTTGCCTTGCCCGCGTTTCTCTGCCGGCCCGCCCCGCTGTCCGACAAAGAGAGGCGTGGGACCGCGCTGCCACGCCGGCGAAGAGCTGGGCGGGACGCTTCTGGGTTCAGCATGGTGTTCGCGCTCTCGCCTTTGATAGCAGTGTCTCGCAAGCTGACCCACCTACCCCCATCCCTGACCAGAGGGCAGAAAATCCACCCCGATCATAACCACCCCGACACGCGAGGCCGTTTCGCAAACGCACCCAGAGATGGAATCAAACAGGGCAGGGCTGTTCAGTAAACGCCCAGGGCCGAAAGTAAACGCCAACTCAGTTGCCTCGGTACGCGCGTTCTGAAACGCAACACGTTCCGTGTTCAAGACGTCCGTGTCCATACGCTGCGTGCTGGCTCCACGTATTGGACCACGTGTTGAGCGAATGCATCGCGTCGGACCTGCGTTCTCAGCCTCTGCGTGCTGAGCTCCGCATCGATGCGGCACGTGCTGCGTGTGGCGTACCGGGGCAGCTCAGGACGCCAAGTGTCAGGTCCGGCTGGCTGCTTTCCTCGACCCGCGCCTCCGTAGGAGCCGCTGCCCGCCCCTCCCCCGGTCTCGCCGCCGATCCCGGGCCCCTCCGCCGGAGGGGCCGCTCGGCCCCGCGGAGAGGCGCCCAGAGGAGGAGGAGGAGGAGGAGGAGGAGGAGGAGGAGGAGGAGGAGGAGGAGGAGGAGGAGGAGGAGGAGGAGGAGGAGGAGGAGGAGGAGGAGGAGGAGAGCGCCGTCCGCCGCAGCCGCCCGCGAGGAGCGCCGCGGCCCCGGGAGCCCCGGGGCGGGGCGCCCCGCCCGCGCCGTGGGGCTGAGCGCGCAGCCCGCCGGCTTCCGGGCCGTCGCGAAGGGCCTCTGCGAGGACGCGCCGCCGCCCCGCCCGCCGTCCGCCCGCCGTCCGCCGACGACGCCGGCGACGGCGAGGAGGACGACGAGGACGGCGAGGACGACGGCGAGGACGACGGCGAGGACGGCGAGGACGACGAGGACGGCCAGGAGGGCGAGGACGACGAGGACGACGAGGACGACGGCATCGCGAGGGAGGGCGGGCCCTGCGACGTAGGGCCACCACCCAGAAGGGCTCCAGGAGGGCCACCCCTCGCGCCACCCCTTGCGCGCGGCGCCAATCGCTGCCGCCGCCGTCGTCGTCGGCCGTCCGCGGTAGTCCGCCGTCCGTCATTCGCCGTCCGTTGTCGCCGTCGGCACCGCGCCCGCGCGCCCTTCTAGAAGGCCGCCCCGTCTTCCTAGAAGGCCGCCCCCATCGCGACATCCACTTGTGGTGGCCGCGAATCGCTGCCGTCGTCGTCGTGCGCCGTGGTCGTCGTCGCCGTCGCCGCCGCCGTCGTCGTCGCGTCCGTCGTTGTCGACGTCGCCCGAATGTCTCGAGCGAGATGCTTGTTTTCACGCGTCCAGGTCGCCTGGGCAGATGTCTAGCATGAGGATGTGTTGAGGATGTCTCGAGCGAGACGCTTGGATTCACGTGTCCAGGTCGCCCAGGCAGATGTCTAGCATGAGGAGGTGTTGAGGACGTCTCGAGCGAAACGCTTGTTTTCACGTGTCCTGGTTGCCCAGGCAGATGTCTATGAGGAGGTGTTGAGAACGTCTCGAGAGAGACGCTTGTTTTCACGCGTCCCGGTCGCCCAGGCAGATGTCTAGCATGAGGAGGTGTTGAGAACGTCTCGAGCCAACCGTGTGTTTTCACGCGTCCAGGTGTCCCAGGCGGATGTCTAGCATGAGTAGGTGTTGAGGACGTCTCGAGCGAAACGCTTGCCTTAACTTGCCCAGGTCACCCAGTCGGATGTCGAACATGAAGATGCATTGAGGATGTGTCGAGCGAGACGCTTTCTTTCGCGTGTCGAGTTCGCCCAGGCGGATGCCTAGCATGAGGAGGTGTTGAGAACGTAACGAGCGAGATGCTTGGATTCACGTGTCCAGGTCGCCCAGGCAGATGTCTAGCATGAGGAGGTGTTGAGGACGTCTCGAGCGAAACGCTTGTTTTCACGTGTCCCGGTTGCCCAGGCAGATGTCTAGCATGAGGAGGTGTTGAGAACGTCTCGAGAGAGACGCTTGTTTTCACGCGTCCCGGTCGCCCAGGCAGATGTCTAGCCTGAGGAGGTGTTGAGGATGTGTCGAGCGAGACGTTTGGTTTCACGTATCCAGCTCGCCCAGGCGGATGTCTAGCATGAGGATTTGGGCAGGATGTCTACAGCGAAACGCTTGTTTTCACGTGTCCAGGTTGCCCAGCAGATGTCTAACATGAGGAGGTGCTGAACGTCTCGAGCGAGACGCTTGGTTTCACGTGTCCAGGTCGCCCAGGCGAATGTCTAACATGAAAATATGTTGAGGATGTGTCGAGCGAGACGCTTGTTTTCACGCGTCCAGGTCGCCCAGGCAGATGTCTAGCATGAGGATTTGTTGAGGATGCCTTGAGCGAAACGCTTGTCGCAGTAGAGCGTATCTCAGTCCAACCCCGCCCGTCCGTGGGGCATCCCCTGGCGCGCTGGCGCGTCTCCTGGCGCGTCCCTTGCTACGTTCTGGCGTGACGTGCCCCGGCACGTCCTAGCACACCACTCGGGGTGGCACGTTCCTTGGCTCGTCCTCTGTCGCGTTTCCTTGCTCGTTCCCAGGCGTTTCCCCTGCCCGTTCCGTGGCGCGCCCCTTGCAACGTCCCTTGGCACGATGTTCTCTGGCCGCCCCATGGCACGCGCCTTGGCACGTCCCGTGGCAGGTCCCTGACACGTTCAGGGCACATCCCCTGATACGTCCCCTGACACGTCCCCTGGCGCATCCCCTATTGCGCCCCTGGCACATCGTGTGGGGCGTCCGTGAGACTCTGCCCCGTGTCGTGTCGTTCCTTTTCGGAGCTGAGTCGGGTTGTGAGGTCGAGTTGATTGAACGACCCGCACGTTTCCACTTCAACCAACTTTGGGGCAGTTATTATGTGCTGATGCAGCTCGAGCTTAAGATCCAGATCAGTTCGGGCAGGACTCGGATGCAAAGGAGGACTCGATCCACAGATCCACAACGCTATAGAGCATCATCGCCGCATGGCACATCGCAATTCAGCACGGCGCAGCACAGCACAGCCCATGACACGGTACAGCAAGATCGATGCATTCAACATCGCAAGTGCTCGTCGCCCAATCAGGTGTCTTGAAAATGTTGCCATGCCTCACATTTCTATATTCCTTTCCAGGTTCGTAGGTCGATCATGTACTTGTTCTTGGAAGGGGCTCTGGCCAGGGTTCTCTTTTAGTTTGTAAATTGTCCCTGACCTCGATCTGCATAGGGCCAGCGAGTTTATCCTGCGATTCATAATGAGGTTGCATAGGGCCAGCGAATTAAAAAATTGAGGATGTCCCAGACAAAACGCGGATGTTTAAAATTCTGGTCGATGAGACACAGAATGCACTTGTTCGTTTGTTGCTGATGTCTCGAGCGAAACGCTTGGTTTGCAGAAGTTGCTTGCAACCCAACACGGCCACGAGGACGGGGTCCCTCACGTTGAAAGACAAGGTGTGCTTCAAGAAATGTAGAAACAAGACGCTGTACAGGATGAGGTCGAAGCACAACACGGCGGCCACAAGGTGGCGATAGCGGGGCGTAGGCCTGGAGGCCCCGACGCCCCGCGCCCGCCCCCGAAGGGGCTGTGCCGGTGGTAGGAGGTGACCCCGTGGGGTCCGGCCTGCCGGCCGCGATGTCACTCGAACTTGTCCAGCTTGACTGAAGGCGCCGATCCAGAGAAGCCCCGCCACACGGCCGTTAGGGCCACGGGGAATCACGATAAGGACCGCCGGTTTAACCCCCCCCCTCCCATGGTTGTACAGAACCGACCGGCCAAAGCTCATGGGGAATTGCACAATGTCTGCACGATGAACACGACATAATGCCACTGCCAGAAGAGTCTACCACCGTCGGGAGAGGTCGAACTCAAGGGTCGTCTCGTCCCCCCACGGCCGCTGTAAGTGACGTGAGGCGAGGAGTTCAGAATACGAGAAGGAGCCCACTCCTCGGCGGCCACCAGCACTGCCGCAGGTAGAAGAACCACATGGCCAGGCTCCCACCCCGGTGAGACACTTCAATGGAACTCTGAGTTCCGGGGAGTTAGTCGAAGCAATGGTGAGCAAGCCATAAGCCTCCTGTACAACTTGCTTCGCTTCTCTTGTCACCATAAGAGTTTCCCCCTGACAAGGGTGTGCAGAATTTGTTGAGGATGTCTCGAGCGTCCTGGGAGCCAGAACTCAGAGGATGTCTCAGGCGAAATGCTTGTTATTTTCACGGGGCCATGTTGCCCATGGAGGTATCTAACATGGCTGTCCCCAGATGGAACCAAGTGTTTTCACGTGTCCAGGCCACCCACGGGGGTATCTATCATGGTGGTCCCGAGCTGGAACCACGTGTTTTTACATGTCCAGGCCACCCACGGGGGGGAATCTAACATGGTGGCCCCGAGCTGGAAACACGTGTTTTTACATGTCCAGGCCGCCCTGGGGGGTATCTAACATGGTGGCCCCGAGCTGGAAACAGGTGTTTCTGCGTGTCCAGGCCGCCCAGGGGGGGAGCGTATCTAAGATGGTTGCGTCTTGCCCCTCGCTGGAACCATGTGTTTTCGTGCGTCAGGCCGCCCGGGAAATGCACCTAACGTGGTGGCCCCGAGCTGGAACCGAGTGCTCTCACGTGTTTAGGCCACCCAGACGGGCATCTAACATTGTTGCCCCGAGCTGAACCACGTGTATTCTGCGTGGGCGGGCCACCCAAGAGGGGGGGGGGGGGGCATCTGACATGTTGTCGGCTGGGCGCCCCCCCAGCGCGAGGGTCCGCAGGAGCCAGGCAACATCAATCGCAAGACAGCTCGCCAGCCGCTTGGGCCCCGCGGCCAGCCCAAACGGCGAGCACAAATCGGGCGTAGCCCCGCACGCAGTCCCAAGTCCAGACAGTCAGGGCCACGTCGGCGTGGTCGTAGCCGCCTCGGGTGTCGTCGCGGTGGCGGTGCTGGTCGACGTCGTCGTCGCCGCTGTCGCCGTCGCCGTCGTCGTCTTCGTTGTTTGTCGTCGTCCTCATCATCATCCTATCCCTCCACATCCGTGGCCATTCTATTTTGGAGTTCGGTATTGTTGGCAGTGAAGAGGCTTGGCTGTATTATTCCTCCTGCTGCAAGTATGTGGACACAGGGAGCGTGAACCACCATGGGCTGGATACGACTGCACAAACAAAGCGCCTGGCACTTTTCAAACCTGCGACACCCGCAGGCATGCAAGAGTCACGCGCGGTTGGAGGAGGCGCGGAGCACGTCGGCTGCCTCGCGCCACTTTCTGTGCATGGCCAAGCGCTGGTCTGACCCTGCTGCGGGAGTGGACCTACATTTGCCCAGGAGCTGGCGTGGACGTGTGAAGGCATCGAGATTGCTGGACACGGGCACCATGCTGCGTGATTTGGGCTTTCGTATAATGAACTGGTGGCCCTCGGAGACAGCAGGGTGCGACCTGCGCGTCGCGTTCCTCTTCGGCATCGCCTCCAAGGGCACGCTGGTGAGCCTGCCCCTGCAGGCCCGTTCTCCTGAGGCCGCCGTGGCAGCCGCGCTGCGCGCTTTCGGTCCTGGCTCCCCATCCTGGCCAGCAGTCTGTCCCCTCTCCGCCTTTGGGCTTTGGGGCAAGCTGCGGCCGGCGCGGGGGCGCCGGGACTGTTAGCGCTCTCCTGTTCCAACTGCCTCTCGGCTTCTGCTCGCTCGCTCGCTCGCTCCTCCTCACCCTCCTCCTCATCGTCCTCTTCTTCCACGTCCTCGTCTTCCTCTTCATTGTCCTCCTACTCCTCGTCCTGCTCCTGGCCCCCCATCTTCTCCTCCTCCTCCTCCCCTCTCCTCCTGCTCCTCCTCCTCCTCCTCCTCCTCCTCCTCCTCGTCCCCCTTCTCCTCCTCTTCCCTGCCCTCCTCGCACTGCCCTCCTCCGCGCGGTCGCCAGCCCTCCGTGCCCAGAACTCTGGACCTCCTCCAATGCGCCTCAAAGGTATTCCCCTGGGCAATCTATGAAAATATCTCGCGGGCCAGCGCAAAGACAGGGGCACGCCTCCCTGAGCACGCGCGGCGCCGCAGAGATTAAAGCGGACGCCGAGTGGGCGCGCCATTGGCTTCGCGCTCGGCCAGTGGCTGCGCCATGGGGTGCGCCCACGGCCGCCACAAACAAAACCGCCTCCTTCTGGTTGCGACATCGGGTGCGCCCTCGGAACCATCTCCAATTCGTCGCGCCATAGGTTGCGCCCTCGGCCGCCGAAATATATAGCCGTCGCAGGTTGGCTCCACCGTGGGTTGCACCCTCGGCCGCCGAAAATAAGACCGTCGTCGATGGGTTGCGCCACAGGTTGTGCCCTCGGCCGCCGAGAGTAAAACCGTGTCCTGCTGGTTGCGACGTAGCTTGCGCCCACGGCCGCCGAAAATAAGACCGTCGCCGATTGATCGCGCCATAGGACCGTCGCCTACTGGTTGCGCCATGGGTTGCGCCCTCGGCCGCCGCGAATCAAAACGTCTTCCACTGGCTGCGCCATAGGTTGCGCCTTCGGCCGCCGAAAATACAACCGTCGCCTACTGGTCGCGACATAGGTTGCGCCCTCGGCCGCCGAGAATAACACCGTCTCATATTGGTTGAGCCATAGGTTGCGCCCTCGGCCGCCGAAAGTATGACCGTCGCGTAACGGGTGCGACCAGTCAGTTCAGTTCAGATCAGTTGGTCGGAGTTTACCTCGCGAGACACAAATTCGGGTTACGCCCGAAATATATGTACACCAGATGTGCAGTAACTTGACACCGTTCTTGAGGCTGGTGACGTTACATCAGATTTCCCACCATCGGGGTATTTAACATGGTGGTCCCGAGCTGGAACCACGTGTTTTCACATGTCCAGGCCACCCAGGTGGATATCCAGCATACTGGTCCCAAGCTGGAACCGCGGTCGCAGTACGCCGTCTGCCGTCGCTGTCGTCGTCGGCGTTTCGGCCCACCCCTAATCGATGCTTTCTGCCTCGGCTTGGACTCGTTCTTATCGTTTCGCCCTGTTGCGGAACAGAATCCGTTCAGAAGGCCTCGATTGCAATCAGCTTTGGGCGAGCAATGCGCCGAGGCAATTGAGCTTGAGGCCCAGCTCAGTTTTGTCAGGATTCGGATGCCGGGGAAGAGTTGATCGACGACGCAACAGAGCACAGAACTGTTCAGATTCGCCCTCTTTCGGTCCGCCCCGCTTCCGAACTGAATCGGATCTTGACCCCGAGCTGATCGAGCGCCGCGCGCGTTTCGATTGCGGCCAGATCTGAGTCGTGCGTTCAGGCAGCTCGAGCTTATAAGACCCAGATCAGTTCGATCGGGAGTCTGACGCCACCGACGACCTGATCCACCATGCAATAGGCTTGGCATCGCTCGGACGTGTGCATTTTTCCTTCGGCGAGGACCATCGAGCAGCATCCTTGATCATTTGGCGAAAAAACCACGCACGAAACCGAAAAAAACACAGGGAATGGACGTCCGAGCGATGGCCAGTAGAGCACAGCACTTCAACGCGGCCTGGCGCCTCTCGGTTCACCACCGCACAGCACAGCACAGCCCCTGGCACTGCACAGGCCAGGGCGGCCGCGGAGCGCGCGCCACCTCGCGCCAGCACGCCTACGCAGGCCTCTGCAGCACCTCGCTCACAACCCGCCCTCACCTCGTCTTCTCCTTTCTGCCTCCAGTCTTCTCCTCAACTCTCCCTCACTCTCACTCTCTGCCTCCAGTCTCTTTGTGTGACCAGCCGCCCGCCTGTCCGGCAGCTGTGCAGGGAGAGGGGCGTCACGCACTTCGCCCTTTTTTGGCCGCCACTGTGGCCAGGTGGTGGGCCTCGGCACGGGTTCGGGTGGCGGGTGGGACGTGCAACCAGCCGGCGTCCGCCCGGGCTGGCCAGGGCGGCGGAGGCCACAGCTTGGCCCTGCTGTCTCAACCATCACGTCAACTAGGCCACCCCAGTCGCCACCGCATCAATTCCGCCTCCAACTTTACCTGTGCAGAGCGCCCTCCCAGCGACGTGGTGGGTATTCTGTGGGAGGGAGGAGCAGTGCCTAGCCGCTGGCTGTCCTGGCGTTTGCCAGAGCGGCTGCTGGCACAACTCAGCAGCCTGGCCACCGCCTCGGAAGGCGCAAACCGGCCCCGCTCCCCGTGGAACCCCCTCGGGTGGCCACGGGTCCTTCGCTCGGGAACCTTGTGCCTTCTGGCAGGCGAGGGTCCCCGTCGCAAGACAGGTGGACGCCTACTGGGGATTCCGACGGGCAGGGGATGAGGCCTTGGCGCTTTCTACTTGGGCGAGCGTGGTCATGCCGCCACGCTGCCCCACACCACCCACCCTCTGGGACAGCCACCGCCTCGGAAGGCGCAGGCCTCCCCCACGCTCGGTGGACCCCTCCCGGTCGCCCCCCCCCCCTCCCACGTCTTGGGGAGCCGAGGCCTGCTCTGCAGGTGAGGGCTCCCGTCGCTGGACCGTGGGACGCCCGTGGGGGGCCCCAGAGAGCACGGGGGAGGAGCTGCTGTGCCCTCCCCCTCGGCGAGCGTGGGCCCCGCCGCGCGCTCGCCACACAGCCGCACAACTGCTGCCACTCTCCGCGCCGCCGCCGCAGCCTCTTCCATCTCTCGCCCTCCTGAGGCTATGGCTTGTGCTCATGCATGTCCTTCTCTTTCTGCGCTCCGTTGTTTTTCACTCCTGCACCTCTTACGTTCTGACCCACCAGCCCGTGATGATGCAAGTCACCTGGCGCACTAGCTTGATCGCCCCCACCGGGCCGACCGGCCCAGGGGGGGGAGAGAGAGCAACGCTTGACGGACGTCTCGACCTGCAGGCTCTCAGGCTGCCAGGGCGCGAGGACTTCGAACTCCTAGGAAGGAGAGGGGGAGGAAGGAGGAGAGAGAAGGAAGGAGGAGAGAGGGCGCGAGGAAGGAGGAGAGAGGAGAGAGGGAAGGGCCAACGCGGGAAATGGTGGGTGCAGGTCGAGGTCTCTGCGCTGATGCTCGTGGTCTTGCTGTGGGCTCTCCGGAGGCCTCCGGAGGCCTCCGGAGGACCTCCTCAGGACCTCCGGAGGACCTCCGGCGGCCTCCAGAAGCCCAGGGCCCCCACGTCCCTATCCAACAGTTTGCGCAAACGCTTCCGGCGTTCGGGGCAACATTTCTTACGGACCCTCCCCCAGTCGGGGGCGGCAGAGAGGGGGGTGATGACTAGGGGGGGGGATATCATGGCGGGGGCCATGGTATTTCCCAAGATGTCATGGCGCCTCTTCTTACTTCATGACGTCCCTGGCCCCTCCGCTGGGCCGCGCACATGCCGCCGGTCATGGTTTGCACCCCTCCCTCTTGGACACCCCCCTCTTGGCCGCTCCCGACCCCAGGACTTCGGGTGGGGCGCCATCGTCGAGAAGGAGGCGTGCCAGAGGGCCGCCTGGGAGATGGACCTGCCGGTGCGTCGGCCGACATCGCGCCCGCTTCGGCCCCCGCGGTCGCCGTCGTGCTGGGAGTTATCATCATTATTTTGTCGTCGTCTTCGTCTTCTTCTCAGCACTGCCGTCGGGGAGAGCAGGTCAGGAGTCAGGAGGGGGAGGAGCCTGAGGCGTTTCGCCGTGTTCTCGGCCCTCGGGGCTCTTCCGCGGGCTCCCGTGGTCGTCAGACATCGGTTGGGGATGAATTGAGTTCCGAGGAGGGGCCCTGGGGTGCGCTTCGGCCCCGTGGCCGCAACAATGCTACGAACCATCGTCATTGAATATCCTTTTCGGCATCTTCTTGTCATCAGGCGCCCTGTGCTTGTGTGTGTGTGTGTGCCACAAGTTGGCGTTTAGATGCGTCCCTCTCTCTCTTGCCGACTAGCCACCGCGGCAGGGCCGAGTCCAGATCCCAGGTGGGTAAGAGCGCGCCCGCACGGAACTCAGTACTAAAAGGGGGGACCCAGCTTCAAGCTTCCCCCCCCCCCCTTCCTTCGAAAAGGGGGGGAGCTTCCGAAGCTCCCCCCCCCTCCCTTCTGTAAGGGTTTCGGAGCTAGGGGGCCCTGGCTAAAGGGGGGGGGGCTTCGAAGCTACCCTCCCCTTCCCTCCCTTTTCCGGAGCAGGAGGTGAGCCCGGGCTTCCCTTTCAAGGGGGGGGGCTTCGGAAGCTACCCCCCCTCCTTCCTTTTTTGGTCTGGACACAGGGGGCGGCGGCTTCAAGCTACCCCCCCCTCTCCTGTGCAAAGGAGGGGGGGGGCTTCCGAAGCTACCTCCCCCCCCCCTCCCGTTCGGGGCTCTGGCAAAATTGCGGAATTCCTGACGACAGGTGCGCACCGCAGCGCTAGAGAACGAATTGGAGAATAACGTCGACCCCTGGTTCGTTTTCTTGTTTTCTTGTTTTCTCGGCCCCTGGTTCGTAGTCTCGTTTTCTCGGTCCCTGATTCCTTTTATCGGTTTCTCATTTTCTCGCCCCTCGGTTCGTTTTTTTGTTTTCTCGTGTTTTCGGCTCCTGGGTTGCGGTCTCGTTTTCTCTGACCCTGGTTCGCGTTCTCGTTTTGGTTTTCTTGGCGCCTGGGTCGTGGTCCAGTTTTCTCGGACCCTGCTTCGTTTTCTCGTTTTCTCTGCCCCTGGGTCGTGGTTTTCTTTTCTCGGACGCTGGTTAGTATTCTCGTTTTCTCGTTGTCTCGGCCCCCGTGTGGTGGCCTCGTTTTCTCGGACCCTGGTTCGTTGTCTCGTTTCTTCGTTTTCTCGGCTCCTTGGTCGTGGTCTCGTTTTCTCGAACCAAGCGTTTTCTGATGATCTCGGCCCCTGGGTCGTGTTTTCTCGGACCCCGGTTCGTTTTCTCGTTTTCTCGGCCCCTGGGTCGTGGTTTTGTTTTCTCGGACCCTGCTTCGTTTTCCCGTTTTCTCTGCCCCTGGGTCGTGGTTTTGTTTTCTCGTTTTCTCGTTTTCTCGTTGTCTCGGCCCCGTGGTCGTGGTCTCGTTTTCTCAGGGCATGGTTCGTTTTCTCGTTTTTTGTTTTCTAGGCCCCTGGGTCGTGGTCTCGTTTTCTCTGTTCCGGTTCGTTTTTTCGTTTTCTTGTTTTCTCGGCCCCTGGTTCGTGGTCTCGTTTTCTCGGGCCCTGATTCATTTTCTCGTTTTCTTGTGTTCTCGGCCCCTGGGTCGTGATCGTGCTTTCTCGGATCCTGGTTCGTTTTCGCGTTGTCTGTGCCCTTGGTTCGTGATCTCGTTTGCTCGGACTATGGTTTGTTTTCTCCTTTTCTCGTGTTCTCGGCCCCTGGGTCGTGGCCTCGTTTTCTCGGTTCCTGGTTCGTTGTTTCGTTTTCTCTTTTTCTCGGCTTTTGTTTGTTTGTATTGTTTTTTTCGGGCATTGGATCGTGATCTCGTTTCTTGTTTTCTCGGCCCCTGGGTCGTGGTGTCATTTTTCCTCGGACCCTTTAGTTTCTCGTTTTCTTGTGTTCTCGGCCCCTGGATCGTGGTCTCGTTTTCTCGGACCCTGGTTCGGTTTCTCGTGTTCTCCGTTTCTCGGCCCATGGAGTGTGGTTTTGTTTTCTCTGACCCCGGTTCGTTTTCTCGTTTTCTCGTTGTCTCGGCCCCTGGGTCGTGGTCTCGGTTTCTCGGGCCCCTGGTTCGTAGTCTCGTTTTTTCGGCCCCGTGGTTTTTGTCTCGTTTTCTCGGTCCCTGATTCGTTGTCTTGTTTGCTCGTTTTCTCGGCCCCTGGGTCGTGGTCTCGTTTTCTCTGACCCTGATTCGTTGTCTTGTTTTCCTGTTTTATCGTCCCCTGGGTCGTGGTCTTGTTTTCTCTGACCCTGGTTCGTTTTCTCGTTTTTTTGTTTTCTCGGCCCCTGGGTCGTGGTCCAGTATTCTCGGACCCTGGTTTGTTTTTATCGTTTTCGCATTCTCTCTGCCCCTTGGTCGTGGTCTCGGTTTCTCGGACCCCGTTTCGTTTTCTCGTTTTCTTGTTTTCTCGGCTCCTGAGTCGTGGTCTCGTTTTCTCTGGCCCTAGTTCGTTGTCTCGTATTCTCGGCCCCTGGGTCGTGGTTTGTTTTTGTCGGGCCATGGTTCGTTATCTTGTTTTCTCGTTTTATCTGCTTCTGGGTCGTGGTCTCGTTTTTTCTCGGAGCCTGGTTAGTTTTTTCGTCTTCTCTGCCCCTGTGTCGTGGTCTCGTTTTCTCTGGCCCTGGTTCGTTTTCTCGATTTTCTCGTTGTCTCGGCCCTTGGGTTGTGTTCTCGCTTTCTCGGGCCCTGGTTCGTTTTCTCGTTGTCTCGTTTTCTCGGCCCCTGGGTCGTGGTTTCGTTTTCTCGGGCACTGGTTTGCTTTCTCGTTGTCTCGTTCTGTCGGCCCCTGGTTCGTAGTCTCGCTTTCTCGGGCCCTGATTCCTTGTATTGTTTTCTTGTTGTCTCGGCCCCGTGGTCGTGGTCTCGATTTCTAGGACCGACATTCGCGGTTTCTCGGCCTGGGTCGTGGTCTCGTTTGCTCGGACATTGGTTTGTTGTATCGTTTTCTCGTGTTCTCGGCCCCTGGGTCGTTATCGTGGTTTCTCGGACCCTGGTTCATTGTCTCGTTTTCTCGCTTTCTTGGCTTCTGGGTTTTTGTTTCGTTTTCTCGGGCCCTGGTTCGTTTTCTCGATTTTCTCGTTTTCTCAGCCCTTGGGTTGTGTTCTCGCTTTCTCGGGCCCTGGTTCGTTTTCTCGTTGTCTCGTTTTCTCGGCCCCTGGGTCGTGGTTTCGTTTTCTTGGGCATTGGTTTGTTTTCTCGTTGTCTCGTTTTGTCGGCTCCTGGGTCGTGGTCTCGTTTGATCGGACCCTGGTTCGTTTTCGCATTTTCTCGGCTCCTGGGTCGTGGTCGCGTTTTCTCGGACCCTGGTTCGTTATTTGGGACCCTGGTTCGTTTTCTCGGCCCCTGGTCCGCGGTCTCGTTTTCTCGGACCCTGCTTCGTTTCCTCGTTTTCTCAGCCCTTGGGTCGTGGTCTCGTTTTCTCTGACCCTGGGTCGTCGTCGTCGTCGGTCGTCGGTCGCGCGTCGTCGGTCGTCCGTCGTCCGTCGCTGTCTTCGCATGACCTCGTCCTCGTCGTGACGACCATGCGAAGACGGCGACAATGACGGCGACGGTGGCGACAACGACGACGAGGACGACGACGGCGTCGTACGAAAACGTCGAGCGACGGCGACGGCAACGACGACGGCGACGGGGGAGGATCGTCCGGCAGGGGGAGGTCAAGGGAGGGGGGTGGTAGCTTCCAGCAGGGGGGGGTTCAAAGGGGGTGGGGGTAGTTAAGCCCCTCCCCCCCTTTGGACAGGGGGAGAGGGGGGGGTAGCTTCCGGAGCGGCAAAAGGGGGGAGGGGGGGGGAGCTTCCTGGGCGGGACCAAAAAGGGGGGAAGGGGGGGGGTAGCTTCCAGCAGGGGGAGCCAAAGGGGGGGGGGGGGATAGCTAAGGGGGGACCCCCGTAAAAAAAAATAAACGCCCCAGGGGTCCGTTCCCGTTCCCGTTCCCGCTCCCTTTCCCGTTCTCTCGTCCTCTCTCTCTCTCTCGTCCTCTCTCTCTCTCTCTCGTCCTCTCTCTCTCTCTCGTCATCTCTCTCTCTCTCGCCCTCTCTCTGTTTCTCTCTCCGTCCTCCCTGGAGGGGGGTCAAGAGGGAGGCTCCAGAAAGGCCGCGGACACTTTGCCTCCGTCATCGTCACCATCGCTACCACCATCGCTACAATCATCATCGTTGTTGCCGTTGTCGACGTCACTACGATACCGCGCCCGCCCGCGTGACCGACCCGCACTGAAGTGCACGCGCGGCAGCGCGGCCTCTGAGACGCGGTGAGAAGTTGCCACCAGCAAGCTCCACCGCGGCCGCATCCGCTGTGCGAAACCAGCTTGCCGCTTTGCGCGCGAGCTTGCACGCGCCAGAGCGGCCGCAGAGTTCCGACAGCCAGGGCCACGCAGTCACCGCAATCGCGAGATATCGCGAGCGCGTGGGTTCTGCAAAACAAGATGCGCGTGGGAGGGTGGGATGATTGCGCGAGCTGTGGAGTTGACAACTCGTGCGTTGGTCGAAAAACCGAACTGCACCACATCGCTGGCACATCGTAGCGCATACCAACTAGAGTACACTACGTACCTTACACCGCATAGCCCACTAATCACAATGCACACAACATATATACAACCACATAACTACGACCGCCTAGCTCACACCACATATATAGCACCACATGTGTTGCACAATACAGGTTGCTTCACGCAGTTCATACCACATACGTTACGTCACATAGTTTACACTACATAGGTTCCCCGGTGAGACTCGACCATCCACTCCCCCAAGGGCTTATGGGCACCCCTTGGGACATTGCGAATGACGTATGATAATGCCCTGTCGCCAATTTTCCATGTGAGCGTATACAATGCGAGTCTATCCCAGTATCGACACCCCTGCATCCGTGTCAAGAAATAGTGTATGCGCACTCTCGCTGATCGCAAAAGGATATGTACCCC